TGACATTTATTATTATCCAAGGGTTTACAATATTAGATGGCTTACTGTCATCCAAAAAGAGAAGTGGTTATATATGCCGGATTGATTTGAAACAGTCACATCTATCAAAAGCTAATTTGTGTTGTTATCTATTTGTATGATGTCCTTTGTCTTTATCGCTTATTGAATTTAGGTTTCGCTCATGTTTTCTGTCCTCTTCTTTACATGTTGGAAATACGTTTTCACACGTTACATGTAATCCCTTTTTTTGTCTTCTATATCCATAAAGAAAACGTATCAGTCAATCTGACATGAACTCGAGGAACAGCAAGACACAACTTAGCATTGCAACTGCATTTCTTCACATCTCTGTGGTCACATCTTTCCAACAAACACTTTTCTATCAAAGCAACACACGCCTGTATAATATTAGAGCGACAGATTATTGCTTTGTTAGAAAATGGAGGATAATTCCTGCGCAAGAAAAGCAACTTTTCAGCCCTGAATGTCTCCTCTGTGTCACTAATTCAGAATCAACTATAATAATAGTTCCCATAGCTAGCTGTGTGCCTTTATCCTGCAGAGAAACCAGAGCTTTAACACGGATGCTGCTGATACTAATTTGAGAAAAACAAAAAGCTAGATTGTTTATTTTTAGTTTGGACATGAACTCAAGGAAAAGCAAGACACAACTTTGCATTGCAACTGAATTTCTTCACATCTCTGTGGTCACATCTTACCTCACAAACGCCTCTATGATAAAAAGATGGACAGATTATTGCTCTGTTAGAAAATGGAGGTTAATCCCTGCACAGGAAATGCATCTTTCCAGCCCTGAATGTCTCCTCTGTGTCCACTGATTTAGACATGTTTGATTATATTTCCCTTTGCTAGCTGTGTGCCTGTATCCTGCAGTGAAACCTGAGCTTTAGCAGAGATGCTGCTCATATTGCTGCCTGTCTCCCACCTGATATACTTCAATACTGAAAAACATCCACCTCTGCAGCAAACCAGTCCTTTAACACCACCTCATTTGGGTATTTTGAAGTGTAAATGTCAATATTAACACCAGCTTATTTTATCTTTGTGCTAACGGGAGACCACATTTCAGACGAAACTCAATCTATATTTCGACGCCAGAATAAACACACAGATACTAGCTGATGGCACGAATAATAAAGAGATACTGAGAGGGATATATGAAGAATATTCACCGTGTTTACTGTGGTTTCAGCAGATATCGCAGGTTTCACTGTTGACAATTTGGCTTCATCAGCTGGTGAGAGAAAATGTTAACACTTCCTGTAGGTTTGCGCATGCGCAGTGAATGCCGCATTGTGAAACCGCATTTATTATATTTATTTATATATTTTATTTATTAGTTTATTCCACTCAAGACAAAGGAACATCTTATTTTACCTGCCCCTTATTCAATAAATAAATAGAAATACTTACAGTAACATGAAACCAAAATCACACAACAACACAACAACAACAATTATATGAGGTTTATATTACCAATGTTACATTTTTTGTGAACTCACAAGTTGAAGGAAAGCTCTATCTAATTATGTTTGCCAATTTATGTATTTGTTATGTATAATTTACTTGTAGGCAAAACATTTGAAATATCTTGATTTTAGAGCAGCTGTGTACCTGTCATGTCATACCTCTGTTTTATTGGTTGGCCAGCTGTCAATCTACTCTGTTAGCCAATCGCTAACGACCATTGTGACCCATTGCGGGTTTTTTTATGGGAGGGACTTAAGAGAACGGTGAGAAAAGTCATAATTCTGAGAAAAATAGTCAGAATTTGGGGATTTTTAATCAATGTATAGTCAGGCATAATACCATTGAACAAACGTAATGTTAAAGTTAATAATAAATAATCTAAATGGGCTTTTAAACGGTATTCATTTAACCTGTGTGTCCTCCAGGCCGCAGGGGGCGCTGCTCACAACTCAGATAGCAAAGCACCCGGAAGTCCTAACCACATGAAGGATGTTTTGAAATGTTCTGTGGACTCCTCAATTTATATCATGAAAACGGCACTTTTTATTTAATATATTGTACAATATGAATTATATGGCAACTTGCTGACATTATGCCGCAGCACATAGGAAGAAACAGGGGAGGGACACCTCTGTATGACTTATATATATAATATAAATACATACAATTCATTACATAGCAAAACATGATATGGAGAGTATGTTTTAACTAAGTACTCTTTTTTATGGACTTCAAGTATTTCCATTGCAAGCCAAGTATATACTTTTACTTACTGTTTTACACCCTGTTGACATCTCTATATTATTATTATTAACGATTAACATATTAATGCATCAAATCTAAATTATTTAGATATTGGCCATTCTGCAAAATGAGTACTAACAATGTTGGTACTTAATATATATGTGCTTTTACTTAAATACATATTTAAATGCATGACATATACTTGTTATAGAGTATTCCTATATTTTGTTTTGTACTCCTTTTACCTGAATACAAATTCAAATAATCCAAGTACCTCTTTCTCTTCCTGCAAATATTTGCTATTTTATTTTATTTCATACATTTTATACTTCATCACTATTTTATAACCTCTGCACTATTAGAGTCCCATATTCTACTTGCATATTATTTTGTTGTTGTTGTGCTTTGGCGACCTAATGAGTGAAGGAGCCTGATGGGTTTTCATTACCAACAACTGCTTCTCTGTAATTACTACTTACCATTTAAGAAGATGATCTGAATATGTCCTTTACCACTAGTAAAAAGTCAATTAAAATGCTCCCAGGCTCAGACATTCTCAGTTATAATGACTCTGTGTTTCTGTTGTTGCTCGATCCAGGTTCAGGGCACCAACGACAGCAGTGTGTTGAGCAAAGTGTCCGCTGCAGCTCAGGGATATTTCCAGGATGCCTTCCTCCAACACTTTGTGTGCAAAGCGGCCAGAAGAGCCCCGCTCATCAACCGGTATAATTTGCATTCATAAATACCTTTGCATTGAAATTCAAGCCATATTTGAACTATAACATTTTTAGATCTTGGTAATTTTTGCTAAATATTTTGACTTATGGAATTATTTTATTCATCAGGAATGACCTTTTGTGCATTTAAATTGTATGCAGTAGTATACACACCATTATACACTATTATAAAGAAAGTCTGAAGTGTATTTGCATGTTTTAGGGGCTACTATGTGCGCTGGAGAGCTGTGGACCACTGTGTGAAGAAGTTCTTACAAATTACTGAAAACTGCCCCAAGAGACAGGCAAGTTATCAGCATAATAAGCGCTTTGAGCACCAGGAAAAGCATTATATAAATCACATGTATTATTATTATTAATCTGTCTCTAGGTGCAGGGTTTGACTCTGCGTATTTCCGCCTACATGCAGAGGAAGCACTTGACAGAGCTGTTGTGTGTGTTGAGCAGCAGCAGGAAACTAACACATCACATCTTGTGTCCATATCTTTCTGTTTTGGTGGTCATGCCACAACCGTGCACGTGCATAAATGCGCGAGTCATGGTAAAATATCTGGATTAAGAGGTTGCTTTTTCTTTGCACAGCATGAAAGAAAGGCGAAGATAATGGGCTGTAATTTTAGTTTTTTTTAAACAGAGGTTGAGTTCAATAATTTGTACGGCCCTCAGAGGATGTTGTATAAATTGAAATGGGCCTTGAGAGGAAAAAGGTTCCCCACCCCTGCTCTAATGCCATGTCCTGAAGTTTTTACAACAGTGTAATTAAGCTATTTTCAACCGTGACAAATGACTGAGTGGGGAATTTATTTACGGGGATAGAACAGTTTAAAATCTCTTAAGCGTCTTATAAACATTGACTTTATTTCAGGCATCTAACCAAAAAACCCAAAGGGAGAAAAAAATGTATTCTCTGTAATCTCAATCTCAATCTTTATTTATTTATATAGCACATTTGAAAACAACCTCAGTTGACCAAAGTGCTGTACAGGGAATACATACAAAATAAAATAACACAATGGAAGTAAAACAAATCAGTCGTTATTAAATAGATTTTCCCTCACACCGACTCTTCTCACGTGAAACACATTCACAAAAAGGCAAGAGGAAAACGTGAGGGACACAATATGAAGGGGGGGAAGTCCCCACAAAATAATCTTCTGTGTACAGTGACTGCATTTTGGAGGTTCTGCCCACTGATTTAAGACCTAGTCAGGTATTTAATAAATGAAGAACACATTACACTTCCATTTCCCAAACAGGCTGGTTCCTTTAGTTTGAATGTGTGTTTGGTGGCGTGATCATTATTATTTAGAGTCATTGCGTGCCTATTGATTTGAACACGATCCGTGTATCCATCATTTCCTGGTCTTCTCTAAAGAAGAGGGACCAATGAAAACGTTGTCATGTTGCCGTTGTTCAGCATGGAAACATTCATTAGCTAACAATGACATTATTGTTCTATTAATATAAAGGGAGGTCAGGTACTCTTTAAAACAGCTGCTAGTTATGGGTACTTTTTACTGAAGTACATTTCAAAGCCCTCTTTACTTTCACTTGAGTAAAGAAGTTTAGTCAGTACTTCTACTTTCACCAGAGTATTTTTAAACACGAGTATCTGTACTTCTACTTGAGTAAAGGATGTGTGTACTTTTCTGATTCTCTACGTGTTCTCCACTCGTTCTGCTCCGAGCTGACGGACTCTGCAGATCAGAATTTTGGACATACAAACAAAAGATTTAAGGACAACACATTGGACTACCATGACCATATTCACAGGAGTTCCTTGACCTCTCACCTCAAGATATCTGAATGGAAAATGGTTGTATGAATCCCAACAAGTCTCCTCTTTACAGACTTATCCACCTTTTGCTAATCACATGCAATTGAGAGACAAAGTCATATAGATAGTTTTTTTTTATATTTCTGCACAATAGTGTCCCTAAACAGTTTGAAATTGTATACAATCAATAATGGAAAGTGCTAGTATTTCGCATCCCTAATTTGGGACAGTTTGAATAGATCATACTTTCCCAAATGACTCAGAAGAGTGGATGTCTAAGTATGTGGGCTTAAAAGACTCCTTTGTGGAAAATCAAAAAAGAAATGTCATGAGTCTGCTTTTTGGACAGGTTTTTATTTTGGAGACCTCAGATCAAAATCAGACAGTAAGGTGTTTTTCTTTTGTTACATGTTGGATGTGTGTGAAATCATTCAGTGAAGCGCCTGAAGCTCTGCACCGTGGGACTCGCGGCCCCCCAGTCTCCGTGCTTACGGTACTCCCCCTTCTCCAGGAAGTACTGGCGCCCGCGGTAGTTTGGATGTTCGTAGAAAACCCACCATCCGTCCAGGACCTTGCACGAGTTCACCTCCCTCCAGCGGATCTTCTCCAGCAGCGAGGGGCAGTCGTCTGAACCCTCGAAGGCCTGGCCCCCGAAATCTGGCTTCTCATACAGCTGGATCTTATACTGAGACCCCCCGGTCTGAGAGGAAGAGATGAGGAAGAAAGGGAAGAGAGGGTTTTAAAAAAATAAATAAAAGATTAGTCCATTTATTGAACATGTTAGAAACAAAACAAACAATAATATTAATAATTATAATTTTAACAAAGAGAAGCAAAATGAAAAACCGTTCAAGGTATCTTTGGAGTCTTTCTTCATGCAGAACATTCAAGAAATGCTGCTTTCAGACTGAATGTAGAGATTTTCGGCTTTTCTCGACAGCGACAAAAAGGAGACTGTCCTATCCCCCCCTCTAGCGTACATTGTTCATGAAAATACAAGTTTAGGTCACCGTCATCAGCATCCGTTATATTTGATTCATTGTTTTAAACCAATCATTTTTTTGTACAAAAACAACCAAAAATAAATAACTTTTACAACGACAAGAAATAGCAATCATGAGTTCACAGGTCCTGCTCAGAACCATGCAGGATTAAGAGTTTTAGTTTAGATAAAGTTGCACAGTATTTCAGCTCATCATTAGAGTTATTCCACAGATCAACACCTTTTGTTGTGATGGGTTAAAGTGGAAGGTATGTGGTTTTATTGCAGAGGGTTAGGGATGAATGGGGAAGGATGTAGGAAAACAGGAAGGGAGGATACGATTTAAATCTAACAAAAGTCAATCGTATTTGTCCCTCTGCATATTAAATGAGGGTTATAATCATTATATGTGTCTGGCATGATCCATTGTATCAATTAGATGAATTACTCTCACTGCTTTTGGTCTGAGGTACCCCAAAAACCCTAATCAGTTGAAGTTACGTACCCCTCATTTGATTCCCAACATTATTCCAAATGTACAAACACAATTCATTATATAAAAGTGTTTTTGTTAATTGCTTCATATAAATTATCTTAAAGGGGACCTATCATGCAAAATGCACTTTTGTACGTCTTTTATACATGAATATGTGTCCCCGGTGTTCCAGGGAACTCACCAAGTGTCAGAAAACACAACCCTCTCTATTTTCCTCCATACCCAAATCTCTAAAAAAGGGTTTGCAACGGATCTGATAAAAACTGATCCAGATTTGAACACTGTCCTGACGTCAGGACGGTGGCGCTACGGCTATTGGGCCAACTCCACCAATCAGGAGGAGACAGCCACGGCATTGCCGTTCGAAAGCGCTGGAGACGCTGTAGTACATATGCCAGGCCTGTAGATGGTGCTGTTCTCACTGAATCAGCCCTTGCTAAAACAGGGGTAAAAAATGTCAAATTGAGCAAAATGAGGCATGGCTAAAATGCATGATCTGTTTGGTATTTTGAAAAAAAAAAAAGTATAAATATGCCTTATATAGGTATGGTCCTACACTATATTATTCAAATATAGCATGATAGGTCCACTTTAAAATGTAGGTTGGTTTGTTCTGCAATCATTCTCCTGCTTCTGTGGAGATAGGTGAATGTTTTAAATACTTTAAGGAATTTATTTCAACCATTAATGGATCAGTGTTGCTTTTTGCAAACTGTTTCAACCATTTATTAATGTAACATGACTTTATCTTGTCTATCTTCAACCTTTTAGCTAATGGACTAACAGTTAAGTCAGCTCTTTATATGTCGAATCCTCTTACCTAATGCTTACTGGTTTTCGAACCCTCACATGACGGCCAGATCTAGTGTTTAGCTGTTGTAATTGACTCATTTTGCAGTTTAATTAATGAGTTAACTACAGCAACAGTGTCCAATTGGGAAGGTTGCTCATCCCTGCATTAGATAACCATCACTAATTGTTTAAACTAACACATGCAGCTCGTACAACTCAGATTGATCTCTGAGTGTGGCTGCAGGCTGTGGGTCAGATCGTTCTGAGGACTGACCCACGTATTGGTTTCCATCCACTGAGCCCTGCAGACATGAAGCAGCAGAGCATGACCTCCATCAGTCAGCTCCACTCTCTACTGCTCACACGCTGCCTTTATCACTGCACCAAACTACTGACTGCCTGAGGATGTAGAAGAGACATGAAGAAGAGGGGACACATGTTGATGTAGAAGAGACATGAAGAAGAGGGGACACATGTTGATGTAGAAGAGACATGAAGAAGAGGGGACACATGTTGATGAAGAAGAGACATGAAGAAGAGGGGACACATGTTGATGTAGAAGAGACATGAAGAAGAGGGGACACATGTTGATGTAGAAGAGACATGAAGAAGAGGGGACACATGTTGATGTAGAAGAGACATGAAGAAGAGGGGACACATGTTGATGTAGAAGAGACATGAAGAAGAGGGGACACATGTTGATGTAGAAGAGACATGAAGAAGAGGGGACACATGTTGATGTAGAAGAGACATGAAGAAGAGGGGACACATGTTGATGTAGAGGAGACATGAAGAAGAGGGGACACATGTTGATGTAGAAGAGACATGGAGAAGAGGGGACACATGTTGATGTAGAAGAGACATGAAGAAGAGGGGACACATGTTGATGTAGAAGAGACATGAAGAAGAGGGGACACATGTTGATGTAGAAGAGACATGAAGAAGAGGGGACACATGTTGATGTAGAAGAGACATGAAGAAGAGGGGACACATGTTGATGTAGAAGAGACATGAAGAAGAGGGGACACATGTTGATGTAGAAGAGACATGAAGAAGAGGGGACACATGTTGATGAAGAAGAGACATGAAGAAGGGGATTTTGCATAATAAGTGACCTTATGGAGATCTGCAGGCAATGTCAGGCAACCTCAATAAACCCCAATATGACCCCAGAGATACACTTGTTATGTCATACAGTATCTCACTGGTGTATGAATCCATTCTTCCATTTTTGTAAGACTTTGCAATCAAACTGTTTCTATTAACCTCCTCTCACTGTTTCTTGTTGTTGTTTTCAATGGTGCTTTCTTTAAATCAGGACTGTTTTAGGGTCAAAAGCATCCAAGTCCACCTATGCCCTTTTAATGGAGGGTGGAACTTTGTATTGAGTCCATGTTTCCACAGCGTGTTTCCAATCACACACTCTTTGCTTTCACTTGTAGTATGAACTGCAGCTGCCCTTGCAAAGTATTTAGCAGTGCATGCAGTAGGCTACAATCAAGAGTACTTCATACGACATGACATTGCATCCTTTGCCTCGGGTTCAGTAGGACATCCTTGTATTTGAGGCATCCTGCATTTGACATACTATGTATTGGGACATGCTTAACATTTTTATGGCATACCAAATACTGTAGTACGGTATTAAGCAGATACCTAATACCGAAGCTAAGCCTCTTAGCTTAAGTTAAAGTGCTATAACCACAGTGTAGAAATACTCTGTTACGAGTAAAAGTACTGCATTGTTTTTTTACTTAAGTAGAAGTACAAAAGTATCAGCATCAAATATACTTAAAGTACCAAAACTGAAAGCTGTCATTATGCAGATTAATTAACATTATATCACTGGATTATAATCAGTGATCCATTATTGTGGAGCTCATTCGAATGACACTCATTACCTCCAGGTGTGATCATTCATTAGTTGACATTGTAATAATATAAACCTGCCAAGACTTAAATGTTGTAGTAAAAAGTCCCCAACTAATTTTAGTGTAGCATAAAATGGAAATACTTGAGTAAAGTATAAGTACCTTAAAACTATTATTATTAAGTACAGTAGTTGCGTTAATGTACTAAGTTACTTTCAGTCTCAGGTAGTAAAGGTATTTGAAACCAAGAGACAATAATGCCTCTTGTGCTCTGTCTTTTTTGTTTATGAAATAGGCTTTTCTTTACACCAGATAAGCTGCTGTCTGACTTACGAAGTGGACCATCTTGCAGGAGCTGAGGCGGTCGTTGAGGCCCATCCAGCGCTGGTAGTCGGGGTACTCCCCCCGGGTCAGAACGTACTGGTGCCCCATGAAGTTGGGCCTCTCGTACAGCACCCAGGCGCCGCTCTCCACCCGGATGGAGTTGCAGCGGCTCAGGTAGGCGTGGAAGTCGGAGCAGTCGCTGTCGCACTCATAGCGCCGGCCCTGGAAGCTCTTATCCTCGTAGAACACAATCTGAGGGAAGAGAGGGCAACCGTACACACATCCTTTACTCAAGTAGAAGTACAGATACTCGTGTTTAGAAATACTCTGGTTGAAGTAGAAGTACTGACTACACTTCTTTACTCAAGTAAAAGTAAAGAGGCTTTGAAATGTACTTCAGTAAAAAGTACCCATAGCTAGCAGCTGTTTTAAAGAGTACCTGACCTCCCTTTATATTAATAGAACAATAATGTCATTGTTAGCTAATGAATGTTTCCATGCTGAACAACGGCAACATGACAACGTTTTCATTGGTCCCTCTTCTTTAGAGAAGACCAGGAAATGATGGATACACGGATCGTGTTCAAATCAATAGGCACGCAATGACTCTAAATAATAATGATCACGCCACCAAACACACATTCAAACTAAAGGAACCAGCCTGTTTGGGAAATGTGAGAAGTAGAAAGTACAGGTATTTGTGTTCAACATGTAAGAAGTAGAAAGTACAGGTATTTGTGTTCAACATGTAAGAAGTAGAAAGTACAGGTATTTGTGTTCAACATGTAAGAAGTAGAAAGTACAGGTATTTGTGTTCAACATGTAAGAAGTAGAAAGTACAGGTATTTGGGTTCAACATGTAAGAAGTAGAAAGTACAGGTATTTGTGTTCAACATGTAAGAAGTAGAAAGTACAGGTATTTGTGTTCAAAATGTAAGAAGTAGAAAGTACAGGTATTTGTGTTCAACATGTAAGAAGTAGAAAGTTCAGGTATTTGTGTTCAACATGTAAGAAGTCAAAGTAAAAAGTGGTCAGAAAAATAAGTAGTGGAGTAAAGTACTGATACCAGAAAAATGTACTTAAGTACAGTAATGAAGTATTTGTACTCCACTACTTCCCACCTCTGTCTGAGGGACAGCAGATAGGGGATGTGTTTGATTCTCTAATCATAGTTGTAGAGAAAGGTCATATATTTCCAATTCACTGTCATTATTTTATCACACAAACTTTAAAAAATGACTTTGGAAAGCCTTTAAAAGCGTTCTTTAGACAATGTTTGTTCAACTGACAGCTGAGTGACACCTAGTTGAACCATTGAATGAAGCAAATGGGTTCAAGGTACAACTTTAAGGTACTTGTACTTTGCATGCTTCTACTACACTAGATGCAGGCAAATATTTCATACAAAATACAATCAACAATTACTGTATCATGCAATGTAGATCCAATTTGAACTACTTCTTTAAACGTTATTTGAAACTATACAATGTCATTAATTAACATACTTATTTTTATAGTAGCCAAAGTATATAAAGTGACAGAAAATGGGAAATCAAATCAAAGTAACTCGAGGTTTAACCAAGAGTTTGTACTCCGATTTAAACATGCTGTGTGATCAGTAAAAGTCCTGCGTCCAAAATCCTATTTAAGTAAAAACCTCAAAATATAAGCATCACGTATAAAAGTGAAACTACCCATGATGCAATGGGCCCATTCAGAATCACATAGACATATTGCATTACTGGAATATTATGCATGCATATAGACTATTCTGCACAGTTTCTATCATATTCTGTTTCTATTCTATTCCATGTTATTGTATTTACTTGCACTATTCTATCTGTTTTATTGTGTTGCTCTGTTGGAGGAGCATGTGACCTCAGACTCAGTCATAACCACACAGCAGCTATGGACACATGACAATAAAAGTCTTGAAACTTGAAACTTCAATGAATGTCGCAGCTCGTAAAGATGCAGCCAATTTGATAGTTTCTGAAGTTCCTCCACTGTTTGAACCCCAATACTTCCTGCAGAGAGGGTCCCATATGCAGCTTTAAACCCACACTTTAACCCCTCACCTCCAGTCTGAACTCACCCTGCCCATGGTGGACGTGTTTTGATGCTCTTGCTGGATGTGTTTTGATGCTCTTGCTGGTGATGCTGGTCCCCTGATGTCTGGATGTTGCTCTGGCCCCTCACCTCTCCCTTTTTATACCCCCTCGTTCCCCCGTTTATAAACAGCAACAGCGCAGAGGTAACAATCGCTTTGTCATGAAAATGAGATCCAAAAATTGAGTCAGTGATTCTAGCGCTATTCAGTTTTTCCAGAAAAGAGAGGAAGGATTACGGCATAATGGCCGGGCGAGGGAAACGTCCATTCACCCCCCACTTCCCTCCTGGCTGGGGGCAGTGCCAGCTTCACCAGCTCCACCAGCTCCACCAGCTCCACCCCCACCAGCTCCACCAGCTCCACCAGCTCCACCAGCTCCACCCCCACCAGCTCCACCAGCTCCACCCGCTCCACCAGCTCCACCCGCTCCACTTACTGCTGCCTTATGGAAGGATCCAGAGAGAATGAGGTCGTTTTTAGGTCCTTTATTTAAGTAAAAGTACTAATGCACCACTGTGAAAATACTCCAATACAAGTAAAAGCCTCCATTTAAACTCAAACTCAAATAAAACTCCCACTGTACATTTTACATTTATATTCAATTTAATATTGAATAATCCATTTCTTGCACAATAATATCCTGCATTATATTTGTTACTGGAAATGTGTATTTCCACATGTTAATATATATTCTTTTACTTTTTAATGCTATTTTATTTCTATTTCAGAAATATTTTGGACTGTTTATTTCATGTGTCTATCTATCTATCTATCTATCTATCTATATATCTACATATCTATCTACCTATCTATATATCTATATATCTATCTATCTATCTATCTATTACAGGATGAAGTTGTCTGTCTGTCTGTCTGTCTGTCTACCTATATATCTACCTATCTTTCTACCTATCTGTCTATCTGTCTATCTGTCTGTATGTCTGTCTGTCTGTCTCTCTACCTACCTACCTATCTATCTAAAAATACTCCATTACAAGTAAAAGCCTCAATTTAAACTCTGATTCAAATAAAACTCCTAAAATATTGTTTGCAAACTGTAGGTTAAAGGAGAGGCATTCTTGCAGAAAAGGGCCCCTCTTGTATATTATGAATATATATTGCATTTAAGTTATCATATATTCAGTGAAATGTTACTGCTGCCTTATTGAAGGATCCAGAGAGAGTATACCACTGGTGGAGGTAGTTTTTAGGTCCTTTACTTAGGTAAATACTTCACTTTAAAAATACTCCATTACAAGTAAAACCCTCCATTTGAACTCTGATTTGAATAAGACTCCTATAATATAAATTGCAAACTGTGAAAGGAGAAGCATTCTTGCAGAAAAGGGCCCCTCTTGTGGGTGTTATATTCTGAATATATATTCCATTAAACAAATGATATATGCAGTGAAGTTTTAGTTTAATTTGTTAGCATTAAAGGTAGGGTAGGTAAGAATGGAGAAACCAGCTCGAGTGCGCTAGAATTTGAAAGTACGCAGCCGAAAAGAATCTGCCCCTTCCTTCAGACTTCCTTACAGAGCCCCTCCTCCAACACACACGAACGCGCACATGACCAATGAGGGCACGAGATAAGTTTGTGCACAGATGGAAGGCTGACAGGCAGGTAGGCCATCCAGTTATTTTAGCCGGGCCGGCTCAGATGATTGGTCGTGCTTTTTACAGTACTACAGCTTCCACAGATGATATTTTTTTATGTATTTATTGTCAAAGCATTTAATGTATTCATTGCTATCGGGATGTTAAGAGCATTCCATGGAATACAACAAGTGTTTCTGAAGTGAATTACCTACCCCACCTTTAAGGGTAGTAATAGAAGTAAATAACCACAAACATATATTGTGCTGGAGAGGGAAGGAAACCTTAAGGGCTTGTAGTAAAACCTCATCTCAAGGGTTTTTAATTTATCAAAAAACTATGGATACTTATCTTAACAAAATCAGAATGAAACTAATCAAAAAGTGCGTATTTGGAGTTATTTTTACTGATGCATACATTTTCAAGCAGCCTTTAATCATTGCATCGGGTCAAAGTGGAACTAATATAGCTATTTAAATATTTTAGGGTTGTTTAGAACAATGCATTAAATGGTGGCAGAGTAAAAAGTGGAAGAGTGGAAGAATCAGAAACATTTGAATACTCAATACAAGTTGCAGAATAAGGCCAAACACAGCCTGGTTTTAGTCAAAATCTTTATTATTTCTTTGACATTAAAAAACGATATTGTGCTCTTCGTATAGAAACAGCAGAGAGGTGCGTGTGTTCAGACAGAGGGGCAGTTCAACAGCAGTAAGGAGTTAGTACAATACATCTTCAGAAAAATAATATACACACACATCCCAGCTTTTAGATAACGTTTACAGTAATATTCTCCTATGTTTAACTGCATTGTCTTCACCTTCAACTTGGCCTAAGTTATCATATTGCAGCAGTTCTAGTGAATATAATGTGAGTCCTAATGGGAAAATAAGAAGTTAAGTTCACTCGGAGGTATCAAAGCAGGACATTGGGAAGATTTATGATAAATAATCTTACTATAATGCTCCAATATACATATTTAGCAAGGGGAACTCACACGAAACGGCTGACAAACTGACCAATTGTTTAATCAAGCCTAATGTGGTGAATCAGCTATTTTGGTTGTACTGAAGAAATGAAAGAAAAAAAATCCACAAAATATAACCGAGCAGAAACATGTTTGCTTCACTGCAAATATTTCCTTTCGACAGCTGGTAAAAAAAATAGACTGTGGGAAAGCAACATGTAGAAGTACAGCTAACCCCTTTCATACAAAGACAGTGTGGACGGTGCAATAATACAAATAAGTTATGTTAATATTTCTTTCTTTTACCCTCATAACGGAAACACTTGATTGCTCTTTTTTCATAGGCTATAAACACAAAACATACGCTGACCTGAGCTAGTTGCTGTAGGTGCACCAACATGTCCTAAATACCCAAAGTGCTACATCTATTAGCATCTCCATCTTTACTTGGCCATTTCAACATTGTTTTAGAGAGTAGTTAGTCCATTAAAGAGCACTGACTTTAGACCCTATCTGTATCTGCTACAGTTAGTGCCTTGCTCCTTCTCACACACTTTTTTCCAGCCGTTTTATATTTTCTGTCTCCAAAAGTCGACATTCAGCTTTAAACCCAATCTCAGCTTGTTCAAAAATGCCCCTTTAAAACTCTGTGGTGACTTCATCGTTGCTACACCCGTGTTTGTTTGAGTCTACAGCTCTCCTCAACAGAGTGGTGTCAGCGATGTTACTGAACAACATGCCAAAACACTCCCTACTTAAACACTTAGCTGCCTTTTCTTCAGAAGGACTTGTACAGCAGCTTTCCACTTAAGAACAAGTGGGACATAAGGTACCATACAAGCTGGATCTACAGCTGCACACGTACCAGAGTAAGGCGTCAAAAACCACACACTTACTGTACAATAATACTCCAAATGTCACACAGAACACATGTAGCCATAGCAGAGTGAATTCATACAAAAACAGACATATTTAGACAACATCTGGTAAACTGACCAATTGTTTAATCAAGCCTAATGTGGAGAATCAGCTATTTCGGTCGTACTGAGGAAATTAAAGAAAATAAATGGACTGTGGGATCAATAACTTGGGACCTGCAAAGTGGGACATAAGGTGCTGGATCTATAGCTGTGTATGTACCAGAGTAAGGTGTAAAAAACACACACTTCCTGTACAATAATACTCCAAATGTCACACAGAATACGTGTAGCCATTGTGCATTTCTGTGTTGCTACTTTAAGACCCAAATAAAGCTTCAACAAGCCATAGGCGACTGTCCCACTGCCCGTCCAGTCCTCATGTCTCTGGTGTGATTGACTCCCTGTGTGTCTGTTGTCGAGTCCTTTAAAGAGTTCACAGCGGGGGGGATGAGGCTGTCCAGTTCCTGCCGGTGACCCGTTTCCAAAAGCCACTCGTGGAACTTGACTTCGACTAAATCCTGGAACTGCTGCTTCTGCTGCCTTCGGGACGAACGTGAGAAAAAGTTAAAACAGCAGAAAGGAGGTAAACTCCGCTTTTTGAACATTAAAAGCATGGAGACAGTACATACTGATATACACCTGAGGACTCTTTAAAGTAGAGACACTACATACTGATATACACCTGAGGACTCTTTAAAGTAGAGACACTACATACTGATATACACCTGAGGACTCTTTAAAGTAGAGACACTACATACTGATATACACCTGAGGACTCTTTAAAGTAGAGACAGTACATACTGATATACACCTGAGGACTCTTTAAAGTAGAGACAGTACATACTGATATACACCTGAGGACTCTTTAAAGTAGAGACACTACATACTGATATACACCTGAACATCAGCAGGAGAGGACTCTTTAAAGTAGAGACAGTACATACTGATATACACCTGAGGACTCTTTAAAGTAGAGACACTACATACTGATATACACCTGAGGACTCTTTAAAGTAGAGACAGTACATACTGATATACACCTGAGGACTCTTTAAAGTAGAGACAGTACATACTGATATACACCTGAACATCAGCAGGAGAGGACTCTTTCAAGTAGAGACAGTACATACTGATATACACCTGAGGACTCTTTAAAGTAGAGACAGTACATACTGATATACACCTGAACATCAGCAGGAGAGGACTCTTTAAAGTAGAGACACTACATACTGATATACACCTGAGGACTCTTTAAAGTAGAGACAGTACATACTGATATACACCTGAACATCAGCAGGAGAGGACTCTTTCAAGTAGAGACAGTACATACTGATATACACCTGAACATCAGCAGGAGAGGACTCTTTAAAGTAGAGACACTACAGACTGATATACACCTGAACATCAGCAGGAGAGGACTCTTTAAAGTAGAGACACTACATACTGATATACACCTGAACATCAGCAGGAGAGGACTCTTTAAAGTAGAGACACTACATACTGATATACACCTGAACATCAGCAGGAGAGGACTCTTTAAAGTAGAGACACTACATACTGATATACACCTGAACATCAGCAGGAGAGGACTCTTTAAAGTAGAGACACTACATACTGATATACACCTGAACATCAGCAGGAGAGGACTCTTTAAAGTAGAGACACTACAGACTGATATACACCTGAACATCAGCAGGAGAGGACTCTTTAAAGTAGAGACACTACATACTGATATACACCTGAACATCAGCAGGAGAGGACTCTTTAAAGTAGAGACACTACATACTGATATACACCTGAACATCAGCAGGAGAGGACTCTTTAAAGTAGAGACACTACATACTGATATACACCTGAACATCAGCAGGAGAGGACTCTTTAAAGTAGAGACACTACATACTGATATACACCTGAACATCAGCAGGAGAGGACTCTTTCAAGTAGAGACAGTACATACTGATATACACCTGAGGACTCTTTAAAGTAGAGACAGTACATACTGATATACACCTGAACATCAGCAGGAGAGGACTCTTTAAAGTAGAGACACTACATACTGATATACACCTGAGGACTCTTTAAAGTAGAGACAGTACATACTGATATACACCTGAACATCAGCAGGAGAGGACTCTTTCAAGTAGAGACAGTACATACTGATATACACCTGAACATCAGCAGGAGAGGACTCTTTAAAGTAGAGACACTACAGACTGATATACACCTGAACATCAGCAGGAGAGGACTCTTTAAAGTAGAGACACTACATACTGATATACACCTGAACATCAGCAGGAGAGGACTCTTTAAAGTAGAGACACTACATACTGATATACACCTGAACATCAGCAGGAGAGGACTCTTTAAAGTAGAGACACTACATACTGATATACACCTGAACATCAGCAGGAGAGGACTCTTTAAAGTAGAGACACTACATACTGATATACACCTGAACATCAGCAGGAGAGGACTCTTTAAAGTAGAGACACTACAGACTGATATACACCTGAACATCAGCAGGAGAGGACTCTTTAAAGTAGAGACACTACATACTGATATACACCTGAACATCAGCAGGAGAGGACTCTTTAAAGTAGAGACACTACATACTGATATACACCTGAACATCAGCAGGAGAGGACTCTTTAAAGTAGAGACACTACATACTGATATACACCTGAACATCAGCAGGAGAGGACTCTTTAAAGTAGAGACACTACATACTGATATACACCTGAACATCAGCAGGAGAGGACTCTTTAAAGTAGAGACACTACATACTGATATACACCTGAACATCAGCAGGAGAGGACTCTTTAAAGTAGAGACACTACATACTGATATACACCTGAACATCAGCAGGAGAGGACTCTTTAAAGTAGAGACACTACATACTGATATACACCTGAACATCAGCAGGAGAGGACTCTTTAAAGTAGAGACACTACATACTGATATACACCTGAACATCAGCAGGAGAGGACTCTTTAAAGTAGAGACACTACATACTGATATACACCTGAACATCAGCAGGAGAGGACTCTTTAAAGTAGAGACACTACATACTGATATACACCTGAACATCAGCAGGAGAGGACTCTTTAAAGTAGAGACACTACAGACTGATATACACCTGAACATCAGCAGGAGAGGACTCTTTAAAGTAGAGACACTACATACTGATATACACCTGAACATCAGCAGGAGAGGACTCTTTAAAGTAGAGACACTACATACTGATATACACCTGAACATCAGCAGGAGAGGACTCTTTAAAGTAGAGACACTACATACTGATATACACCTGAACATCAGCAGGAGAGGACTCTTTAAAGTAGAGACACTACATACTGATATACACCTGAACATCAGCAGGAGAGGACTCTTTCAAGTAGAGACAGTACATACTGATATACACCTGAGGACTCTTTAAAGTAGAGACAGTACATACTGATATACACCTGAACATCAGCAGGAGAGGACTCTTTAAAGTAGAGACACTACATACTGATATACACCTGAGGACTCTTTAAAGTAGAGACAGTACATACTGATATACACCTGAACATCAGCAGGAGAGGACTCTTTCAAGTAGAGACAGTACATACTGATATACACCTGAACATCAGCAGGAGAGGACTCTTTAAAGTAGAGACACTACAGACTGATATACACCTGAACATCAGCAGGAGAGGACTCTTTAAAGTAGAGACACTACATACTGATATACACCTGAACATCAGCAGGAGAGGACTCTTAAAGTAGAGACACTACATACTGATATACACCTGAACATCAGCAGGAGAGGACTCTTTAAAGTAGAGACACTACATACTGATATACACCTGAACATCAGCAGGAGAGGACTCTTTAAAGTAGAGACACTACATACTGATATACACCTGAACATCAGCAGGAGAGGACTCTTTAAAGTAGAGACACTACAGACTGATATACACCTGAACATCAGCAGGAGAGGACTCTTTAAAGTAGAGACACTACATACTGATATACACCTGAACATCAGCAGGAGAGGACTCTTTAAAGTAGAGACACTACATACTGATATACACCTGAACATCAGCAGGAGAGGACTCTTTAAAGTAGAGACACTACATACTGATATACACCTGAACATCAGCAGGAGAGGACTCTTTAAAGTAGAGACACTACATACTGATATACACCTGAACATCAGCAGGAGAGGACTCTTTAAAGTAGAGACACTACATACTGATATACACCTGAACATCAGCAGGAGAGGACTCTTTAAAAGTAGAGACACTACATACTGATATACACCTGAACATCAGCAGGAGAGGACTCTTTAAAGTAGAGACACTACATACTGATATACACCTGAACATCAGCAGGAGAGGACTCTTTAAAGTAGAGACACTACATACTGATATACACCTGAACATCAGCAGGAGAGGACTCTTTAAAGTAGAGACACTACATACTGATATACACCTGAACATCAGCAGGAGAGGACTCTTTAAAGTAGAGACACTACATACTGATATACACCTGAACATCATCAGGAGAGGACTCTTTAAAGTAGAGACACTACATACTGATATACACCTGAACATCAGCAGGAGAGGACTCTTTATGGATGATCAAGTTCTATTTAGACCGTCTTAAATGATTCCACTTGTTAATAAAGATGTTTAAAGTTCCTGATTTGCTACTCACTTGTTGAGCGGGGTCTCCAACACCGTTTTCTGCCAGTTCTGGATCCTCTTCTCCTTCTCCTCCACCACCGCCTGGTACAGAGGAGGTAGCCCCCCCGGCACCTCGCACGTGTCGCCCTCCATCTCGAAAGGCACCGCAAAGGTGTTAAACTCAGCTGGAGGTAGCAGGCGGTAACAGAGGGGGGCCGGATTGGACGAGGAGTTGAGTGAGGGGTTAAAGAGACCCTCTGTACCCACAAGTAAGGGTCTATCCCAGGCGTTTGGGACCACAGCGAGCCCCACGCTGCCCATGTGATCCTCCAGAGAGGGGTAGAAGATGTGGAAAGGCCCCAGAGTAATGTCTGTGTTTCCTGGGAGGAGCAAAGGTCGAGTGGGGGTCAACGTGTGGATGGTGCAACGCGAGGAGACCCCGATGGCGATCCGGCCCGACACACACATCACACGCAGGTTCTGGCAGCTGTGGATGTGAACGCTGGTCTCAACGGGACCAAGAACAACGGTGCAGTCTCGACATTTATCCAAACTCACTGATCTGGAGGAGAAGACGCAAAATGACCACACAAGCCACGTGTTAAGAAGTGCTAAAAACACAATAAAAACATCGAATAAAATATACATGATAGATAAACTGCGTTAAATCCGTAACCCAGGGAATATTATGATAAGATAACACAAATAAAAGCAGTAAAGTGCATTTCCTGTGTCAGAGATTGCTAAAAAAATGACATAATCATAAGGATAAAAACATATAAAACATGTTAAATTGGTCCTAAAAATAACGTGTACGTGCAAAACGTTTTTATGATGCATACACTACTTACATTTTCAAATAAAAATATGACATGCCATGTAAATCTTGTTATGGATAGATGTGGTTTAGCACAGGTAAGCTAGCTCAGGTGATTTTCTTTTTTGATTTATGGGTAACAGTTAACATTTCTAATGTATTTAAAGGGGACCTATCATGCAAAATGCACTTTTGTACGTCTTGTATACATGAATATGTGTCCCCGGTGTTCCAGGGAACTCACCAAGTGTCAGAAAACACAACCCTCTCTATTTTCCTCCATACCCAAATCTCTAAAAAAGGGGCTGCAACGGATCTGATAAAAACTGATCCAGATTTGAACACTGTCCTGACGTCAGGACGGTGGCGCTACGGCTATTGGGCCAACTCCACCAATCAGGAGGAGACAGCCACGGCCATTGCCGTTCGAAAGCGCTGGAGACGCTGTAGTACATATGCCAGGCCTCTAGGTGGTGCTGTTCTCACAGAATCTGCCCAGAGCTAGAAATTGTCAAATTGAGCAAAATGAGGCATGGCTAAAATGCATGATCTGTTTGGTATTTAAAAAAAAAAAAGTATAAAATGCCTTATATAGGTATGGTCCTACACTATATTATTCAAATATAGCATGATAGGTCCACTTTAAGTGAAATGTGTTTTTTATTTTCAACCTTTTTACATTTCTTTCAGCAATTTCTCTTTGAGTATTATATGTCTGATTATCGTTACTGTAATATGTATTTTCAGACACATTTTATTATTATTTTTTAAACATTCAAAACATGGGGTACCTTTAACCTGTTCCACTCTGAGCCTGTTTTTCAGGTCTCAGGCTCGAAAATGACATTCCCAGAACAAATGACTATAACTTCACTTCTAAAAGGGTTAAATTAATAATCTTTATTCTCAAAGTAATGATAAACCTGTGAGTTGGATGTAGAAAAGTCAGAATCAATACAGAATGTTTTTATTTTAAAGTAAATTCAGATTGAACATAGTAAAAAAAAAAAAATTATAGTGTCCGTCCAAAAATTATTTTTTACTTATAGTGAAAACTACCCTTGGATGATGGGTTAGTAGACTAAAAGCTTTAGGAATCCAAACTAAACATATAATAAGTACCCTGTATCAAGATTGATGCAAAACAAGTGACATTTGACCTTTTTAGAGAGATTTAGAAAAATAAAAAACACTTCTGGGGTCATTTGGGTGGATTTTCAATATCTCTGGATTTTGATGGTTGACACCTCTTTTTAACCGTTAGAGCCAATAGAATCGAAGGGAAGTTCCTAAAATCCATCTAAACATTACCCATTGGTGAATAGAGTGATGCGTAGCCAGAATGCCCAAAACCGGAAGCTGTCATACAGTCTCGTAGCTATCATAATAGCTATATATGAAATCTCAGTTTTTGCCATAAATATGACGATGGATATCAGTAATCATTTCAAAGGGACACAGACACATTGGATTAGTCTATGGATTAACCTTCAGCAGCGTTTTTATCGTTTTAATGCCATTGAACACAACTTTTGATCAGAACAACAGCATAGGTAAGACAATGTCCCGTTTTTCCTCCGTAAAGCTACGTTGTGTGATGTCTGGGTTTGCTTCCCCTGCCATGAGTTCTGATCGCTCAGTGATGATACTAATACCCCTAGAATCTGTGGAATCTCAGCTTACTAGCTAATATCTTGTTTGTGCAGATCTGATAAGTAATAAAGTATTTCTACCGTGAGTTCTGTGCTAAGTGCGTTAGCATTTCTTCGCTCAGGGCTCATTTAGACGCTTCTTGTGAGACTTGTGTTTTGTTTCGGTAAAAATGGTTCATATCGTCAGTTACCTGAGTTTCTTCCCGTTAAGTGGGTATGAAACATTCATAGGTTTTTAAATGTTAAGAAGCCCTGAGACACAGTTTTGTGAAAAAAAAACAAATAAAATATAAAATGTAATTGTAATGTAATACCTCCCCTCCTAAAACTCCAGACCTTTTTAGATGTTTAGACCTTGAATATCAAGACTTTTAAGACTGTTGAAGGATCCGCGGGGTATAGCAGCGTACCTGAGAGGAGAGAGCAGGTAGATGAAGGCGTCGGCACAACGGTGGATTTTGATGTTGGCTCCGTTCAGCTTGTCTGAGGTTTTGGCCAAAGTCTGTTTGAAGATCTGCGACATCAGAACCATCTTACTGCCGGGGGGGGGCCGCGTGGGTGTTCCTGGCTATTCTGGCTCTCTTCATGGACCCCTCCACTAAAGAGCACACGCAGAAAACAAAGACACATGGAGATCAACAGGGCCGTTTTTGAAAATATCTGGGGGAGCTTCATGGAGTTTTTGAAAAATAATGTTGGTAATGATCAATAAAACCAATAAGATAATAAGATAATAAAGTGTAGTAGCCCACGTCATATTCTTTCAGATTTCTGTACTTTGTTATTCCTGTATCATCTGTATACTGACATGTGTTTATGTACATGCCTATTCCTTTGATTGTACACTGTATCTGCCACCTGGACTGACCGTTTTATGTGTGTGTAATGTTTCAATATTTGAAAAATGTAATACAAATATTGTTAAATAAAAAATGTTAGATCAACAGGTAGAGAAGAAGTAATGACTGTAAACAAACACACTCATACGTGACGTTAAAGTATTTCCCTTCAAAACTACTGTAGGGTCATTTTGCATTTTTGCAATCAGGGATTACTATAATCAATAAATAACAATCAACAAATCAGTAGGAAAAAAGGGGATAAAGCAAATTATGAACATTCATTTATAGTACACATTTAACAGCTGACGGACACATAATGAATTCTTATACACACATGAATGGCCATCTAAACATGGGGTCATTAGTGATGTTTTGTGTTCCTCATGAAATATGGCCCATACCCTAAGATATTGAAGTGACTGTTATTTTGTATATATTGATTGTTGTGTTTTATATTAAAGTGGACCTATCATGCTATATTTGAATAATATAGTGTAGGACCATACCTATATAAGGCATATTTATACTTTTTTTTTTTTCAAAATACCAAACAGATCATGCATTTTAGCCATGTTTCATTTTGCTCTGTTTTAGCAAGGGCAGATAAGGGCAGAACAGCACCACCTACTGGCCTGGCATATGTACTACAGCGTCTCCAGCGCTTTCGAACGGCAATAGAGTGGCGAAGTCCCTCCCACTTACTTCCGGGGTATGGGACCTTATTTCGGAAAAATTATGCATTGAAGTCAATGGGGAGAGAAAACTTATCTTTCGATCCCGTTTGAATTGTGCCATGAATTACACATATGATGTTTGTCAATCTTAAAAAATCATTTCCATGTCAAAAAAGTCACAGTTTGTCGTAAAACTGTTGAAATATAAGACTATGAAAAATACGCAACTAGAAAGACTACAAATCCCAGAGTCGCGTAAGTGATGTCACAATTGTTTACCTCTACCATTCAGATACCTAAGATCAGCGCAATATAGATATAATCTATCTATATGGCGCTGGCTAAGATAAGATAACTTTAACAAGATGCCTGTGTGCTTAGTACCAGGTTGTTATTATACCAGCAATGGGTCTTGCTCGTTCTTTTGCTTCCCGTCTGATGAAATGACCAGGAGTGGCTTGATCAAGTTAGCTACCTAGCTAGTAGCTAGCACGTTAGTTAGCATTACAGCCTTGTCATTTTTATTAGCCTTAACATGAAGTAACATTAAGTAACCCAAAATGTTAAACAGTAAGAGTAGTAGTCATATTTCGTGAACCCTTTGAATAGTACTGTCACCGGTGTGATCATTCTATAATACACCATTTAATTCCGGGGGAGAAATGCTAACGCTAACGTTAGCATCGGCGATCTTTTCTACTTCATGCTATCTGCACAAATGGTTGACATTAAACATTAAAACGACCAGGCAGTTCAGAGAGAATCAAAGGAAGGCAGGCAGGCAGCTTTGCATGACATTCTTCAGGACGTGTTTCATTGTGGTGATAGTGAGGGTAGTCAATCGTTTGTTGACAAGACAGTAGTGACGGCCATCTTGGTGACGTGTGTGGTTGACCAGAGATGTAGTTCATTTAGCGTTTCACACAAACAAATGTGTTACTTCACAGTTTTACGACACATTTTTTTTTTTTTGACTTGCAAAATTATCTTTTAAATTGACAAACATCATATGTGTAATTCATGGCACAATTCAAACGGGATCGAAAGATAATCTTTCTCTCTCCATTGACTTCAATGCATAACTTTTCCGAAATAAGGTCCCATGGGGCTCCACCGGAAGGGGAGGGACTTCGCCACTCTATGGCCGTGGCTGTCTCCTCCTGATTGGTGGAGTTGGCCCAATAGCCGTAGCGCCACCGTCCTGACGTCAGGACAGTGTTCAAATCTGGATCAGTTTTTATCAGATCCGTTGCAGCCCCTTTTTTAGAGATTTGGGTATGGAGGAAAATAGAGAGGGTTGTGTTTTCTGACACTTGGTGAGTTCCCTGGAACACCGGGGACACATATTCATGTAGAAAAGACGTACAAAAGTGCATTTTGCATGATAGGTCCCCTTTAATGTGTGCATATGTGCAGATGTGTCTGTTATATACTTAAGCAATAGCTCACGACAGGCCGTGGTATATGCTCATTATATCACAGCTAAGGGGCGTGGTTCGGCCCGACGCGAAGGTCAATTATGCACAAGCATAATTGACCTACATTGGATTGACTTTTCCAACTTATAACTTAACTGATAAGGCAATATTCCTCACCTCTAGTGAGTGGCCCAGCCCTTCGTATATTTGTCCATATGTGGCCCTCGGAGACAAAAGTTTGGACACCCCTGCTATAAACAAATAAACTAAACTAAAACTCATTCCAGTAGATTTCAGGGTACCTTGTTGAGCCCAGGCCAGCTTCTTCCCTGACTGCAGGCAGGCGGTGATCCCAAAGGGGTTGAGAGCGAGTCTGTTCTGCAGGCAGAGGAGCAGCTTCTGCAGGGGGAAGCAGCGGCTGGCGGAGCAGAACCCGGCCTGGGTCTGCAGCGGGGGTTTGGTGAGCAGCCGGTGGACGGGCTGCACCGCTCTGCCGGGACCCGCTGAGCCCTCCAGGAGGAGAGCCAGGCTGCGCAGAGCATCCAGGGAGATCTGGAGATATAGAAGACACAGTGTCAAATCAGCCATAATGCAGGGAACACAAACACACAGTGCCACGCTGCTCAGCCTCTCAGTACGTAACAAGATGTATTTGTGATGATGAAACTGTGAAAGATCTTGCTTTAATGCATATAACTTGTCAAAGAAAGACTTTGTATGTTAAAAAGACTGAATGCATCAGAAAGATGTGAATAGTTTTAGAGTCTTATTTCAGTCAAAAATATCAAATAACAAATATAATGATTGTATCTGCAAAACATAGAGTAGCCGTTACGTAAGAAAAGATTTGAAAGTGAATCATCCGCTGAGGAGAGATGCAGCTTAGACGGATAATTCTCTGTGCTTTCATCCCTATGAGAGACCTCTAACATTGCCATATGCTACAACGTTTTAAATCTGGATTATAAACGTGTTACTGTTGTTAGAAAAATATCACTCCTCACTGCTTCCAGAATGGAAGTAGTCATCACATACAGAGCATCAACTAGTTCCTGAACAGTGTCCTTCACATGCTGATATCCAAGAGAGGGAGTTACACAGTCACAAGATGGAGGAATACCGGTTCTTCTTGGTAATCATACATCCTGTCACGTACAAAATACTGAGTTTTTTCTCAAAATGTTGGTTATTTTCTGAAAATCTCAAAATTCTGACTTTCTCTCAAAATTCTGACTTTCTCTCAAAATTCTGACTTTCTTTCAAAATCCTGACTTTCTTTCAAATCCTGACTTTTTCTCAAAATTCTGACTTTCTTTCAAAATTCTGACTTTCTTTCAAAATCCTGACTTTCTCTCAAATCCTGACTTTTTCTCAAAATCCTGACCTTTTCTCAAAATCTCAAAATTTGGACTTTCTCTCAAAATCCTGACTTTTTCTCAAAATCCGGACTTTCTCTCAAAATAAAAAAAATCTGAATTTTTCTCAAAATTCTGGAGGAAAAAAATGTTGGTTTTTTTCTGAAAATGTCAAAAATCAGATTTTTTGGTCAAAATGTCAAAATGTTGACTTTCAGATTAGCTCCACGTCAGAAATGATCATGCTTGTCATATGTCTATCTCCATAGAGGCTGAATCATCATGTTAATCACATAGCTATCATATGCCTCAAACAGTCCTGATGCTCTTCTAGGTAATCATACATCCTGTCATGTTCACAGCTACAGTTGGGATACCTTTGTTATCATGTTACTCTCATATTGGAAGAGGACATTCAGTATTTTCCAAACACCTGTTCACACACCTGGCAGCCTCTGAGCACCTGTCCAGACTGAGACAGCTGACCCGGCTCCACCAGCAGCTCCAGAATCTCTCCCAGGTGACTCTGCACAAAGGACAGGTGGGCCTGATCGTCCCAGTTCTGCAGAACCAGAAGGAGACAAGAAAAAGTGTCACAAAACAAGGAATTCCAGTGCTTAAAACATGATTGTGTCGATGCTTTGCACTGGGCATGAGGTAATGCAATCATGTAATGAGTGTTTCTGTAGGAGCGACATGTTAAAATGTATAATTTGATATATTATGTAGATATATTTGAACATTGTAATCCTTTGTTATTAGTATTTTTATATAATTTATTTAAACCAGCCGTCGTAAAATTGACGTTATAGCCGACCGCAGCTGCTGGTAATTAGAAGTGAGAAGGAGAAAAGAATCACGGAGCAATATCGTTTTTTGACCTGTGAAAATATGTGTTTGTACTGATATCTTTTGTTTAAAGGGGACCTATCATGCAAAATGCACTTGTTGATGTCTTTTATACATAAATATGTGTCCCCGGTGTGTGAGGGAACTCACGTAGTGTCAGAAAATAAAACCCTCTCTCTTTTCCTCCGTACCCAAATCTCCCGTTTAGGAGCCGGCTCTTTTTAGTGAGCCGAGCCAAATAATCCGGCTCACTAAAAAAGAGCCAGAATTCCCATCACTAATACGTAAAGAGATAGTATCTATAAAGGGACGGCTCAAATCAAAATTCAAGTCACACAACGTGTCTGTAGTTTCTCCAGGTAACAGACCTTGTTCTGGGAGCTGGTCTTGGCCTCTCGGTCCGATCGAGACGGAGATCGAGCTCGCATGCTGGGCCACTCTTCACCGATCAGAGAGGTGCGTAGAGACACACGGTTCAGCTGCTGGATGTAGAGGAAGAGGAGGAACTGCAGCGTGTCCACAGATAACTGGAGGAGAAAGAAGAAAGAAGAAAGTGTCTATCAATGTGTACTCAAAGGCAGGGTCACAACAACAATAAGCTCTACCTGGGGAATAACACAACAAGTGAGACATGATTCAAAAAAGTAACATGAGACAATAAGATAGCATCAAATTCTGTGAGTCATTTGGCACAATTCTACTCGTGAGGTTACGCTCCCGACCTATTCTTTTTAAACGGCTCTTTGGTACGAACGAAGGGAACCGAGTCGTACTTGGTGAGAGCCGTTCTTTTTATCATTGGTTCACTGCCTGCCATAAATCCACTCGCCTTTACGTGAACAGTGAAAAAGCTTGATTTTGTTCCCCAAGCGTATTCCATGAAGACCCGCCCCTACTCTGATTGGTTAGGTTTAGTTACTAGGAGTGAGATGTTGTGGGTTAGGTCTAGCTAGGGTTGCATATCGTTGACTTTTTTACGATACCGATACCGATACTCGACCGATACATATCGTGATACTTTCATGTTGCATAAGGGAAAAATGTAAGCGGTTTATGATATAGTTAACATGTCAAATGAATATTACAATTAATTGTGGGACTTTGACATTTTAGTACTGAACAAACAATGAAAAACACGTTTGACAACACAGGCTTGAAGACTGTACATTCCTGTACTCTGATTGTATGTGACAGTAGCAAATATTTTGAGAGGTTGGATGTGTTGCCGCCTTTCCCAGAAATAAACGTATTGCAGTGGTTACAGACCCCACCATTCAGACTGGCAGTGGTTACAGACCCCACCATTCAGACTGGCAGTGGTTACAGACCCCACCATTCAGACTGGCAGTGGTTACAGACCCCACCATTCAGACTGGCAGTGGTTACAGACCCCACCATTCAGACTGGCAATGGTTACAGACCCCACCATTCAGACTGGCAGTGGTTACAGACCCCACCATTCAGACTGGCAGTGGTTACAGACCCCACCATTCAGACTGGCAGTGGTTACAGACCCCACCATTCAGACTGGCAGTGGTTACAGACCCCACCATTCAGACTGGCAATGGTTACAGACCCCACCATTCAGACTGGCAGTGGTTACAGACCCCACCATTCAGACTGGCAGTGGTTACAGACCCCACCATTCAGGCTGGCAGTGGTTACAGACCCCACCATTCAGACTGGCAGTGGTTACAGACCCCACCATTCAGACTGGCAGTGGTTACAGACCCCACCATTCAGACTGGCAGTCATATGCAGCCACACTTTAGATTTTCGTGCCGACATCGAGCTAATGAAAAAACGTTAAGCTCACCGAAAGGCTCAGACGTTCGGGAGGAAGGTGAAGGGCGTTGCTTGGCAATCAAGCCAATCACCGAAGTCGTTGCAAGACGCGCAATCTGATTGGCTGGCGGTTTGGGCGTGAGTTTAAGGATATTACGCCTAACTTTATATAAAAAAATTAATAAAAATCGGAAAAGTATCGAAAACCGGATCTGATTTCGGTACGGTATACCGTAGCCGCCAGTAACCGGTATTTCGGTACGCACCCCTAGGGTTAGCCAATCAGAGGCAGAGTAGGGGTGGGTCTTAACGGAATAGGTAGACAATGCGTTTTTCGGGTGAAAAAATGTGCCAAACGCAGCAGCATTTGGATGCACTTCAACAAAAACATAGGCAATGATAAAGCGGAGTGCAACATTTGTAAAGCCAAAATATCATTTAAAGCAGGGTCAACAAATAATCTCCACCACAATTTAAAAAATAAACGGCTCTTTTGAACGGCTCTCTGAAAGGAACGGAGCCATAAGATCCGGCTCCCTTCAAAGAGCCGTAAGTCCCATCACTAAATTCTACTCCACCCGTTTCTATATTTGTACCCTGCTCCTTTGTTGGTCCAGCTCGCTTTTATCCGAGCACTGGGAGAGACACTCGGCCCACTCCAGCCTCTCCTCTGGAACGTGGCCTATGAGGAGGTCGAAGGTCTCAAAGTAGAGCCATGCCAGGTCTTCATGGAGCTGCAGCTTTCCACAGGCAATGTGCCTCCACATGGGCCAGCTCATGGAGGGGAAGCAGCCGTCACGCGTTCGCACGTACGACGCCATCTTTCTGAGATAGTGCAGGCTGAGTTTGGACGGGGGAGCCACCTGCAATGGCATTAATTCCAGTTATGTACAATATTGATTGTTGTGCTTTTATGTATGTCTTAATGTGTGCATATGTATAAATGTGTCTGTTGATTGTATATATATATATATATATGTGTTGTTTGTTTGTTTATTCCACACATGGCACTTATTTTAAAACAAAACATGTACACTTATACTGTTATACTTATACCATTAAAAAGTAAAATTAAAGCAATATTCTTTCAGTTGCTTACAAATGCTGAAACATAAAACCAGAACACAATCAAAAGTCAACTTCATACTGTCTAATTACGCTTTCTTTATACATTTTCTTAAAACGTAAAATGTTTCTTACAGCCCTTTAAATCATTCGGCAAAGAATTCCACTTCTTTCTATATTTGTATTTTTGTATTGTGGGAAACAACAATTATTTCGATCTCTCTGTCTGTACACACAAACTGAAAGATTGACAATAAAGTTGACTTTGGACTTATGTTACAAAATATGCATTACCACCAGGGCAACTTGTATCATATGAAACAGGTGGGAAGAGTATATTCACCTGCAGGGCTCCCAGTAAGAAGGGCTCCATGCGCGGCCAAATGCTCACACCGTCTGCCTCCATGTCTGAAGAGAAAAGAGACAAAACAAATATATGGAAGTCTGACCCATGATACACTGATGTGCACTAATTTAAAAGGTCTCCTATTATACTGTTTTTCATCAATGTATTATAGGTCTCAGATATATACAGAACCTGTCTCTGATTGGCTGAAACACCAAACAGATCATTGCAGCATCCCATAATCCCCTCTGTTTCAGCCCTGTTTCCAAAGTGCTGATTCTCTGTCTGTTACTTTAGATGAAAATAAGGAGCCCCTCCCCACGCCCCTCTGAGAGAGATTTGGTTAAAAAGAACTCAATAGTGCTCTAGGAGGACATTCAGGGGATAAGGTGGGGGGGGGTTACCTTGGTTGCTGATTGGCTAATGGTTACACAAGACAAAAAAACGTGATGACATCATAAAGTGGCCAAAATCTGATCAGCTCATTTTCAGACAGGTTTTTATAGAAATGGATCAGGACAAAAAGAGAGAGAATCTTTGTTCCTGAAACTTTCAGAGTCTCTTTACACAGAGGGGACACATGTTGATGAAGAAGAGACATGAAGAAGAGGGGACACGTGTTGATGTAGAAGAGACATGAAGAAGAGGGGACACATGTTGATGTAGAAGAGACGTGAAGAAGAGGGGACACATGTTGATGTAGAAGAGACATGAAGAAGAGGGGACACATGTTGATGTAGAAGAGACATGAAGAAGAGGGGACACATGTTGATGTAGAAGAGACATGAAGAAGAGGGGACACATGTTGATGTAGAAGAGACATGAAGAAGAGGGGACACATGTTGATGTAGAAGAGACATGAAGAAGAGGGGACACATGTTGATGTAGAAGAGACATGAAGAAGAGGGGACACATGTTGATGTAGAAGAGACATGAAGAAGAGGGGACACATGTTGATGTAGAAGAGACATGAAGAAGAGGGGACACATGTTGATGAAGAAGAGACGTGAAGAAGAGGGGACACATGTTGATGTAGAAGAGACATGAAGAAGAGGGGACACATGTTGATGTAGAAGAGACATGAAGAAGAGGGGACACATGTTGATGTAGAAGAGACATGGAGAAGAGGGGACACATGTTGATGTAGAAGAGACATGGAGAAGAGGGGACACATGTTGATGTAGAAGAGACATGAAGAAGAGGGGACACATGTTGATGTAGAAGAGACATGAAGAAGAGGGGACACATGTTGATGTAGAAGAGACATGAAGAAGAGGGGACACATGTTGATGTAGAAGAGACATGAAGAAGAGGGGACACATGTTGATGTAGAAGAGACATGAAGAAGAGGGGACACATGTTGATGAAGAAGAGACATGAAGAAGAGGGGACACATGTTGATGTAGAAGAGACATGAAGAAGAGGGGACACATGTTGATGTAGAAGAGACATGAAGAAGAGGGGACACATGTTGATGTAGAAGAGACATGAAGAAGAGGGGACACATGTTGATGTAGAAGAGACATGAGGAAGTGGATTTTGCATAATAGGTGACCTTTAAGAGAAAGGAGAGCAATGTAAGCAAGTATGACACACTTTTGAATAGCATGACATCACAACGTGTGCATGACATAAAGGTTAAATAGAATAGGACTTATACTTAAGAGCAGCCTTTCTAAATAACCACGTGACGTTACATGGTTGACGATGCAAGTGAAACTATGATGAAAGACAATCCCATTCAAAATAGGTTTATACTGTACGTCTGTAAGTTGTGTGATTTCATACACAGGGCACTATATCACATGATCACCTGGATTGATGGATGGATGGATCGAGGTTGCAACAAATTATTATTTTCTGTATTGATTAAACTGCTAGTAATATTTCTCTATAGAAAAATGTCAGAAAATAGTGAAAAACGTCTGTCTCAGTTTATCAAAGTGCAAGGTAATGTCTCATTGTGTCAGCCCCAACCGCAGATACATTCATTCATATATTCATATTGATCCAGAGGGAAATTAAGCACTGTGCGACTGCTTTTTGTTGCATATTACAATATATAATTGTATTATTTGAAATGACGTTTGCGGTTGTGTCTTGTAATATCACTGTATGAGATTACATTGTGTTGAAGGGGTGTTTGTTAGTGGTTTCACATGCTGTGTATAACATTTGAATAAAAACAATGTAGAATTTGGTTGTTCTGTGTGACTGGGGTTGTTTATTTCTAGGTACTCTAGGGGGGAAATAATTGCATTTTATTCCACAAAACACAGCATTAACAGTCAAAGCCAATATTTTTGTGCTTTCAAAAGTGAGAGGATTATATATATATACAGTATATATATTACCAAGGTGCATTTAGAGATGTATAGATTCATTGAGGGGGAGCTGAAGAGCAGCTTTTCTCAATAACCACCTGTAAAAAAAAACGGACTATACAAGTGCACACACATGATAAATACGAGTATGGAGTGTTAACATGTGGTTAATTCAAGATAGTGGTTTATTATCTCCTGTAATGACGCGATGATGCTCCCATGACAACAGTAGGTTGCTCGTGTCATCAACACCTGACATACTAATACCACGTTTAGGGTTAGGGTTACTAAACTAGGCTAAAATGATCCAGTAAGACACTTATAAATACACTTAAATACGCACAAAAACACGCTTTATGTTGTGGGGGCATATGAAAAGTGGTTTTGTAGCTGTAGGTTTGAGTAAAGAGTTGTTTTATCTCGAAGTTAACTTCACTAAAGTAAAACGAATCCAGTAAGACAATAATAGATATGCACACAACTGACTAAATGTCGTGGGGAGGTGCGGAAGTTAGTTTGGTAGCTGGAGGACTTAGTAAACAGTTGTTTCATCTCGAAGGTAACTTCTCTGCTAACATAGCCACCGTTAGCTTGCAATGCTAACAAGCCAAAGTGAATAGGGAGAAAAATAGCATTTAGCATTAAAGCTCTTACTTTCACCCTCTGTCTTCGTCCACGATGTTCCGCCTCGATGGGTCACTCATAAGTAAAGAGTGAAGATGATAAGTCCTGTCGTTGATGAGTGTGGTTGTGATGAGAGACACACACACACACATCTGCTGCTCTTCCTATTTGGCGCCCTCCTCTCCACTGACATCTGAGGCGGGGGCGCGCAGCTAGCGGGGGCGCGCTTTAGCCTCCAGTGTGTTTGCATCATTGTTTACATATATTTAGAAAAACAAACAAAGTATGGAAGTTCATTTCTGCCAGTAAAAGAGAAAAATAAGATGGAGCCCTGTGATTAACAGGTTTGTACTGCACGTCATTTATTTTAATAGTAATTTAGAATGCCACCATAAACACTTATACTTAGTATTTTTTTTTTATGTGAAATAATGACTAAGTAATGCAAAATAAAAATAAATGGGATTGAAAATAATAGAAAATAATAATAATTAAATAATAATTCAAATATTCAAATAAAATAAAATGATAATGGAATCATAAAAAGAACTTGGAAAAATGTTTTAAAGTAGGGCTGTCAGTCGATTAAAATATTTAATCGCGATTAATCGCATGATTGTCCATAGTTAATCGCGATTAATCGCAAATTAATCGCACATTTTTTATCTGTTCTAAATGTACCTTAGAGTGATATTTTTCAAGTTTTTAATACTCTTATCAACATATGATCGGACAAATATGCTTTATATGTTTGTTTATTATCATTTGAACAATGACAAATAATCTCATGAATATTAAACACAACAACCTCTGAACATTACAAATATTCGCCTCAATTCAACCTGGAACCTCTCATACATTAATACTGTGTGTGTGTGTGTGTGTGTGTGTGTGTGTGTGTGTGTGTGTGTGTGTGTGTGTGTGTGTGTGTGTGTGTGTGTGTGTGTGTGTGTGTGTGTGTGTGGGAAGAGTAAACAGTGTAGCTGTAGTGTGTGGACGGACACTGTGATGGATCGTTGGAGCTATGTGCAGCTCAAGGCATATATGCTCGAACGGGAGCTGCCTGGACGCTGCAATCATGTTGCGTGCACTATCCGTGCTGAGTGTGCTGACTTTTCGTACAATGTCCCACTGACCTGCATCAAGTCAAGTGCTCGGCGCAGTTGTCGGCGAAATGTCGCTCCTCTGTTTTCATTGAAACAGCTCCTTATATCCGTTAGCGCAGCTAGCTAGCACCAGATGCTAACAACAACAACAACAACAACAACAACATGTAAGGTGTGCCTCGCTCGAGTCGCGCCACACATACACACTCCCTCCCGGTCCTCCCGATGGCCAGTCCGGGCCTGCCAGTGAGCGTGGAAGTGTAGTCTGCCACAAGCGGGCGGCAGGAGCGGGGCTGTCAGCATCAGCTTGTAGATGGTATTTTAAACTCGATGCGCTCTGAAACTACAGGGCAGCCGAGGACAAAAAATACATATGCGTTAATCGCGTTAAAATAATTAGTGGCGTTAATTTTTTTTTGCGTTAACTTGACAGCCCTAATTTAAAGATATTTAATATGAAGAAAAGGTTTTACTACAACAACAAAAATACAAATAAATTAAACAAATTATTACAAAAATTAAAAACACATATCAAAAAATAAATACGTTAAAAATACAAAAGTAGAAGTAGCCTACTCAGATATTGTACTTGAGTAAAAGTAGAAGTACTCAGATCGTGTACTTGAGTAAAAGTAGAAGTACTCAGATCCGTAAAAGTAACAGTAAAAGTCCTGCATTCAAAATGTTACTCAAGTAAAAGTAGAAAAGTATTATCATCAAAATATAGTTAAAGTAGCGACAGTAAAAGTAGTCATTATAGTAGTCATAGTGCAGATTGGTCCATTTCAGAATAATATATATGATATGTTTTATAATGATTGATCATTAAAGTGTTCTCAACGCTGGTAAAGGTGCTGCTAGTTTGAATGACTTTATATACTGCAGGGTAGCTTGTGAATTTACTCCAGGTGGAATTAAAGCACTGGGTTTATGAAAAGTGACTTTTGGTTGATTTGGCCCTTATCGTCTTCCGTAGCGCACACCTTACAGTAAATGGCGAGATGTTTCTTTAACAGTGGGAGGGGTTTCTCTTCTGGGCGGGATCTCTCTGACAGGAGGAAGAAGCTCTGGTGACTGGCAGCCGGGGATCCAACCTTCAAAAGCCGGCTGGTCTTTATTTGCTACTTCCTTTACATTTTTTTTTACGTAAACAGGGATCTATGGCTTCCAAAGGGATGAATCTGTGCCACGTTTGCTGCCTGCTTCTCTACGTTATTTCGGCGGTGCTTGCAGGGTAAGTCTGTTGAAAAGGAGAAAGCATCTCCAGGTGGTACACATGTTCCTCTGTGATTGGTCCACATCACTTCTACATGTGTTGTGTGGACTACAGTAGCTTTACACACCGAGATAAATCACTATTAAGTATGTATTTATGTGTGTTTGATATCTAGCTAAACGGTTATATTCAGGAGTTTAAATGCTTGGTTTTGAATGCCTAGTTAGCTCGGTTAGCATGGAGCTAGCCTTCAAACCAGGAAATGGCTGTAAATTGAAGCCGATTTTTGTGAATGGACGTAGTGGCCAAATGGTGGTACTACAACTTGCGTGACGTCATTTTGCCACAGAAATACCTTTTCCCATTGACTTACATTGGGAAAGAGACGTCTGTAAATCAGTGTATAATGATTTGTTCAGCTAAATAAACTACCCAGCACAAACACTGTTATAGAACTTATTTAAATACACCATAAAATGCACTGAAAGCTGAATCTAGAGTAATTTTCTCTCTCCATTAATTTGGTATTTTAATCTTTATTATTCATCTTATTCATTTATTTTATATTCTTTTATTGTATTTATTCATTTTTTCTTATGTCCTTTAATTTACAGAGAGGGATCATTGTTTATTTTATTGTTTTACTGTTATTATCATACCTATTTTACCTCTTTGAATTGTTATATAATGCTGGTAAGTGTGCAAAAAGCTTTGACCCATAGTGACATTTATTTTTTGTTTTAATATGTGATCTGTCCCAAAGCACTTACAGCTGAACTGGGTTTATGAAAAGTGCTATACAAATGCGCGTATCATCCGGGTACTTCCTGTACCTACAGTCGCTCCAATGTTGTCTTCATGCGCCACTGAGCAGCTCTCATAGGAATGAACGGTGTTTCAGTTCACTTTATAAATCCATGCTTCACACCGGCTTACTACACAGTGCTAGCTTGTTGTATATCACCCTTAACACATGAAAACACACATCTAACTATTTCATTTAGCTTTCTATGTGTTAATCCATTCGCTGTTGTTAATGTTACCTCTTTCTTTATTATAGGCGAGATTTCTATGCTATCTTGGGGGTGACAAAGAGTGCATCAATCAGGGACATAAAGAAGGCCTACAGAAAGCTGGCTCTTCAGTTACACCCCGACAGAAACCAGGACGACCCCAACGCTGCAGACAAATTTGCAGATTTGGGATCAGCTTACGAGGTGGGTGCATGCTCTCTATATCCATTGTTTTGTGTTTAATGCAAGTGATAGCTGTAGGGAAGCACAGTCTAGAAATGTGGATTTAAAAGGTGGGTTTAGTTGCCTAAATGTCACGAAACTTCAGAATGAAAGTGTATATATTGAGCGGAAATATGAGATTGTGTGCGGAAGAGCCTGAAGCTACGTTACAAGAGGCTTTTGTACTCTAGCTTTTTGGTTGTTGTTGGAAACGGTAGCTGCACTGTGATTGGTCGACTAGACCGTGTGGCTGCTTCTGATTGGCTGTTGAGCGGCACAGCTGGCATCTGTAAAAGCCAGACGTGGATGAATGGGAGTGGATTTAGATAAGATCTGCAGGTGTTTTTAGTATCAAATGTTCCCATTGCATTTAAAAAATAACTGGGATTAGTTGTGTTGTTTGATAAACAAGGAGTGGACACATGTGGAGTATTACACGGTTTAAATGTTATTGCTTGATAATAATAATCTATATTTTTATAGCAACATTCATACGGAAAGGAAATAGACATTACATGGACACAAACAGAGAGAGTTTGCCATGTTTAAGGAAATATTTGATGGATATTATCATACTTATTTAGTTGACTGTGCCTTGATAAGAGGAATATTCTGTTATTATGCATGTTATTATGATTTTCTTAAGCTAGTTGAAAGAGAGTATCATAAGAAAACTGCACTTTAAAATGTAATTGTATCTTTTTTTAATTAGTGCTTTGTGTGTTCACTTCAGTTTGATAAAAAGAGGGTTGTTGGAAATTCTATTTTTAACATTTAACAAGCGATTTGTTGTAATTTAGCTGTGTAGGCTACTGAAAGAGGGAGTGTTCACTTTAATATCTGATTATTTAATTTGCATTTCATATTTGTATCTTAATATTCAACTACGCTGCGTCCAGTTGAACAGGTGTACCTTATTCAGTCCCAGTCAGTGTTAAAACAGTCAACAATTTCCCAGGGATATATGTCATAAATCTTTTAGGTTAGTATGTGAATAATACTGCTTTTCTCATTTTTGAAATCAAGTTTTGCTTAGGTTTAGATGGTGTTTGTGTTCTGTTATATTGTTGTACTGGATGACATTATGTAAATGGTTTCAAATGCTGTGTGTATTGTGAATTAGAAAACAATATAGAATATAGTACGTTCTTTAATTGTTGTAATTTAGCTGTGTAGGTTACTGAAAGAAGCTGGAAGGCTGAACTAAGTACACTTTAATATCTGATTATTTAATTTGCTTGTGTATTTGCAGGTGCTCTCAAACGAGGAGAATAGGAAACAGTATGACGCGTACGGAGAAGACGGACTCAAAGAGGGTCACCACGGCTCACACAACGACATCTTCTCCAGGTGCGTTTCATGGGTTCAGGTCCTATTACAACACTAAGCCAATGGGATACCTTATTTTACAAGTAAAGGGTTAGTCTAAAGTTCAGTTCACTAAAAACAAACAGCTTTGAAAATGTTATTTGGATAATCAACAAACTTTACTTTGAACAGTTTACACAGAAACAATTTTGTATTTCTTTGCAAGTAAATAGTTCATACAAAAACAGCTCGCGTTGTTTTGATATCGGAATCAAAAATCC